CGATCTCGGCGAGTCGCGCAGCTATACGATAGTCTTCGCGTATCGGGTATGTCGTGCGTCGTTCTCGTCACGTGGTTCGTTCTCAACTACTGACCCACATAGTTCACGTGCGCCGACACGGAGGATTTCTTTCGTTTCAACCATGTGCCTGTATGATCGATAGGTACAGGTACGTGCAACCGTAAAATGGCGTGTCCTTGGCGATAAAAACACACCGAAGTATCTCCGATATAAAACGGTAACGGACAAAATGAAACTCTCGTTTCGATCGAGTATCTGTTGGATTTTTCCATCGAACGTATCCGATGAATCGAATCGAGAATCGATCGCATTCTACGAAGGTGACGTCTTTGCATTTGTACTTGCACGTAACCGCGTATATAAATTATTCCGAACGTGTTTATCGTAGATGGCAAAAGTTCGATGACAAATCACGATATCCGATCGATTTCCTTTGGCATCCGAACGAATCGAAATAGCCGAGCAAACACGGTGAACCGCGCGGGTTTGCCAACTGGACAAAGCAATACATCTTACGTCTGATCCCCCAATCCATCATGTTGCATAGAAAGCACCGATACTATTGCTGTGGTCCCTGAATATGCCCCTTGTGGTCCCTCTCGCAAAACACGGTAAAGCCCGATATAATCTTGGTCCCGTAAGTTCTAGGTTATCCTTCGCGTGCAAAGTACTCGAGAGACTCTAAATAAAAACGATGTATTCGTAATCGTACTACTTTTCGTTCTCATCCGACGTCGAACGCGTCAAAATTATTCCGCGACATCGAATCGAGCCGGAGTAAAAGATGGCATCGTCTCTGCTTCGAGCGACTCGTCGCAAACGTTTAACGTTCGATATTCAACGCATCCGAGATTTCGGTCCTCACTGCCCGGAATGCTTTTCTTTTTCTCGCGACGCTTCGAAATCCGTAAGCCGCGAGCCGTAAGCCGCGAGCGCGAGCTATGGAACAAGTCGAAATAATTGGTTTCCGCATCCGGGCAGCTTGCACTTGGATCCAGGTTTTCGTGTCAGCCCATTTCGAAACGCATCGCGACACGAAACCGCGGTTTACCGCGCACCACCATTTGCCAAACTCGACTCGCGGCGATATTCTTCCGCGACGAATGTCGCAGCAGGGTAGCGCGCACAAACGAGCCGATTACGTTGCATCGTAGCAGCTCTAGCGTGCGAACCGAGATCGAAACCACTCGCGAAGAACGAGAAAAATGCGAAGGATACGAAAACTATGAAACACGGAACGGTCCGCGTTTGCTCGCGTCTCTTTTAGCGTCACGATCGTCCTCGGTAGAATCGTATCCTCGACTGTCGCGGCTACAATGCTAGATATCGGATGCGCAGTTGACGAACGACCGACGAAAGTAACGTTAGAAAGTCCCGGGATGGTGGCGGCTTGGCTAAATTCGAGCAACTCGGACGGAATGTACGGCCGCGCCGATCGTTGATTCGGACGAGCAGGCTAGGAAGGGTCAAAACGCAAGCGCTTTCGCCCATCGATCGAGCGCAAGTCCGTACGCACGAAACGAACCGAATGAAATTTCTGTACGCTTACTCGACGTCGCATTCCGTTCGTTCGACCGATCGTCTATCGGTCCGTTGGAGATCGAGTCGCTGTTTCGAATTAATGCGCGACCACTCTTTCCACGATCTAAACGGTCTAAGCGGTCTAAACGGTATATACGGTATATATACGGTATATATACGGTATATATACGGTATATATACGGTATATATACGGTATATACGGTATATACGGTCTAAACACGGTCTCCGCGCACTCGTGGCTCGTCTTTTCGAATAGTAAGAAAACTCACCGCGCGTCGAAGGATGATTCATTAGAATGGCCAACGGGCATTCGTCGTCGTCCAATATGTACTCTTGTTGCGCGCCCCCATTGGCGCTCTCGCTGTTTACCTACGCAACGTTGGTAGAACGAAAACAGTGAAACGCATCGATCAGCGATCGTAGAAATATCGGGAGAAATTGCGACGACTGGACTAACCTGCACGAGACAGTACTGTTGCGGATCGACCTTCTCCAATCCGTATTTGGAAAGCATCTCGCGTACAACTTGCACCGCCGAATCTCGTACGCTCAAAAGCAACGTTTTGTACGGGACGTCTTTGCAGAGTGCCTCCCCGTAGATTTTCAACGTGCCACCGGTGTCCGGACCGCCGTCTTTGCTCCGAAATTGTTGCAATTTCCTCTCCAATTTTTGCTGGCGCCGTCTCCTCATCACAGCTTCCGGATTCGAAATGCTTCTCGTGAAACTAGTTTCCGGTAACTCTGCAACAACGATCGACGCGTTACCTTATCGATCGTTTCCGATAGCTGTTCGTTCGAATCGCGATCCGTTCGATGCTCGACCAATCGTCACGCTTCGTAGAAAACGGCGCAGCGATCGACGCGGAAATGATCTCGAACCGAATCTCCGAGTCGAAACTAAAATCGTTCTCGTTCCGACGACGGGCTATATCTCCGTCTTACCTGTATAAAGTTTCTCCGCTACACCGTTCTGATCGGCCGGAGCCGCGTTCTCGTCTTGTTCGACGCTCTTGAGCCGGCTGAGCTTCTCTTGCTTTTTCATCTGTTTCTTCTCGCGTTTGCTCAACTTCCTGCGAAAGCTGGAACCGTCCGTCGAAGAAAATGCAACACCCTGCGCATTCGTCTTATCGTCGATTCTTCGCAGAAGAAACCGCCCTTCGCGATCGTCGATGTGCCAGTTCAATTGTACCAGCAACGGCTTCTCGTCGAGTTCGAGCTTGCGTTCCTCTGTGAACCAAGCGAAACCGTCTCAAGCGTTTCGTTTTTCGTTTCGTTTCGTTTCGTTTCATTTCGTTCTGCGGGGCTTTTCTTAATATGTACCACACCGATGTACACGTGCGTTGCGCCTATAGGAACGGAATACGCGCTACTCGCGCGCACACTTACCACCGTTTTCGTGAATCTCGTAAAGAGCATACTCTGGCACGGAAAGCATTCGCATGTCCGGACGGAATTTCTCGATGAGCGTCTCGATCACGGCTTGACTCGTTGCATCGGAGGCTACTCTGATGCACTTGGTCGCAACCTTTTGCCCGCTATCTTGAAAGTAAAACCTCATTACCCCGTGGAACTCCAAGTCCTGAAAACACATTCCAGCAACGTGAGACAAATTCTCTGTCTTCGTTTTCGCGCGCGATCTCGCTCGTAAATATACGCATTTTAAATATCTCTATCTTACTTCGTTCGGTTCCGAAAGTTCGAACAAATCCAAACGGTTGGCGTTCCATTGTTGTATCACGCCGCGCAGTGCCTCCCGCTCGGCTTTCTTGCTTGTCGCGTCCGTGTCCATTCTAAGAGAAAACAAGACTGTAAAACCACAGCAAGAAAGATCGGAAACCGAATCGACGAGCAAGAGCGATTCAACTCTCGTTCGATTGTACGCGAATCGAAGTTCCTTGTTTTAAAGTTTCGCGCGGCATCTTGCTATTCAATACGATACCGTTCACCGGCAAATCGATCCAAACTCTGTCGACTCGGTGGTCGATTTCCGAATGTTCGACGAATCGATAAATCGTGTTCGAAACAGAAACCGAAACGGAACTCGTGTCGAAGAAAAGGGAGGAAAAGGAGATCGGTTCGAATCGGTTGAGATCGACTTGACTCGAGATTTCTCGGGACTGCTCGTTGGGCCGGATCGGGCTAACTCGGAATGGAACGCGTCCACGAGCGAGTCGTCGCCGTCGCCGTCGCCGCCGTCGTCGTACACCGCATACCATGCATTCTTATCTGCTTCTAGCGCATACTGTATGCATACGACTACGTTCAGTCTTGAAACCTCAAAAGTGCGCTCGAGTAACTCGAACACGCTCGAGTACCCTCCGAGCGATACGCAACCACCCTCCCCAACCACTCGGCGATCATTCCTCTCCGAAACCTAGATCTCGAGTCTTTCCTCCTTGTCTCTGTTTCTGTGCTATCGGTTGTCCTAGACCTTACCCTCTCGACCCTTCCTGGTCGTCTAAACTTTTCCCAATGTTCAGAATAGAATTCCCTTTACGGTTTTGAAATTAGGCCCAGCTTAATCCTTGAAAAGTCAACCTAAATTTAACCCAAACGCGAGTCGATTCGGCCTGAATCTATGACGTTACGCGCTATCGACTAGAAAACGACAGCGTATTCTTCGGAATTTTTGATCGATCTATTCGCGGTTCGGTGTGTGTTCGTATAATTTAGAGGTTAAACGAAACTCCGATGATCGATGGAAGAAAGAAGCACAATAAGAAGAAAGAGAAGAAGACGGAAAACAGGTGATGCGTCATCGGATACTTACTCTTCCGAGACTGTCATTCTTCCGATACGGTCGAGGGAAAGGCGAGAAAAGACACGAAACGCGTTCGCGTGCAAGATTAAACGAGAAAAAGGAGCGAGGGTTTCCAAGGCGTCGAGGAATTCTGGCAGATACGAACAACGGATCGCGATTGCGCGGTAAATCTTCGCTACACTCGCGAAACTAGTCGGCGACGATGCCTTTCAACTTTTACAAAGTTCACCACCGATCGGTCCGCGGCGTCGAACAATTTTTCGAAGGATCCGACTCTGCGACGCGAACAACGATTCGTTGAAATCGGTCGGGCACGCAACATTATTCTACCTTGGGGAAAAGAGCGTGGCCGTTCAACGTGTTTGGCGTTACGCGACCCGTTACCGGAAACTGCGTCAACTTTTCGGACTCGCTTCGACCCGCGATCCTGTCGCGATCTTTTGCTCCTTCCTCTCTTTCCTCTCTTTCCTCTCTTTCCATTCTTTTCCACTTTCCTCGCTCTTCGACGATCACATATTTATCGACCGCGCGGATCGTTCGACGACGATACACGATTCCGATCACTCGAAAAACAAACGCCACACCCAAAGACTGTTTCGAGACGATCGAGTTCCGCTACGCATAATACTCGAACGTATTTCTCGTCGCGTAATTACCAACCAACTGGCCGACGCGAACGGACTCGGACTCGGACTCGGAAATGCTTGGGCTTGGGGCCTCAAAAGTGGGAGAGAACGANACTCGGAATGGAACGCGTCCACGAGCGAGTCGTCGCCGTCGCCGTCGCCGCCGTCGTCGTACACCGCATACCATGCATTCTTATCTGCTTCTAGCGCATACTGTATGCATACGACTACGTTCAGTCTTGAAACCTCAAAAGTGCGCTCGAGTAACTCGAACACGCTCGAGTACCCTCCGAGCGATACGCAACCACCCTCCCCAACCACTCGGCGATCATTCCTCTCCGAAACCTAGATCTCGAGTCTTTCCTCCTTGTCTCTGTTTCTGTGCTATCGGTTGTCCTAGACCTTACCCTCTCGACCCTTCCTGGTCGTCTAAACTTTTCCCAATGTTCAGAATAGAATTCCCTTTACGGTTTTGAAATTAGGCCCAGCTTAATCCTTGAAAAGTCAACCTAAATTTAACCCAAACGCGAGTCGATTCGGCCTGAATCTATGACGTTACGCGCTATCGACTAGAAAACGACAGCGTATTCTTCGGAATTTTTGATCGATCTATTCGCGGTTCGGTGTGTGTTCGTATAATTTAGAGGTTAAACGAAACTCCGATGATCGATGGAAGAAAGAAGCACAATAAGAAGAAAGAGAAGAAGACGGAAAACAGGTGATGCGTCATCGGATACTTACTCTTCCGAGACTGTCATTCTTCCGATACGGTCGAGGGAAAGGCGAGAAAAGACACGAAACGCGTTCGCGTGCAAGATTAAACGAGAAAAAGGAGCGAGGGTTTCCAAGGCGTCGAGGAATTCTGGCAGATACGAACAACGGATCGCGATTGCGCGGTAAATCTTCGCTACACTCGCGAAACTAGTCGGCGACGATGCCTTTCAACTTTTACAAAGTTCACCACCGATCGGTCCGCGGCGTCGAACAATTTTTCGAAGGATCCGACTCTGCGACGCGAACAACGATTCGTTGAAATCGGTCGGGCACGCAACATTATTCTACCTTGGGGAAAAGAGCGTGGCCGTTCAACGTGTTTGGCGTTACGCGACCCGTTACCGGAAACTGCGTCAACTTTTCGGACTCGCTTCGACCCGCGATCCTGTCGCGATCTTTTGCTCCTTCCTCTCTTTCCTCTCTTTCCTCTCTTTCCATTCTTTTCCACTTTCCTCGCTCTTCGACGATCACATATTTATCGACCGCGCGGATCGTTCGACGACGATACACGATTCCGATCACTCGAAAAACAAACGCCACACCCAAAGACTGTTTCGAGACGATCGAGTTCCGCTACGCATAATACTCGAACGTATTTCTCGTCGCGTAATTACCAACCAACTGGCCGACGCGAACGGACTCGGACTCGGACTCGGAAATGCTTGGGCTTGGGGCCTCAAAAGTGGGAGAGAACGAGAGAACGAGAGAACGAGAGAACGAGAGAACGAGAGAACGAGAGAACGCGAACGCGCTCGTCGTTCCGTACCTATCCCCACTAATTTCGCCCCCTCCGTGGCTGCTTCTTCTCCTACCACTCTCTACCACCGCGCATTCGAATTCCCATCCCTACATTGGTCTTTCCACCGTCTACGTACGCGTAATCGTCCCCACCATTCTTCTCCCTACTCCTTTTCGTTCCACGTCCTCTCTCATTCTTTCCTTCGTCGTGGCTCTTTTTCCTGCGAGCTGCGAGACGCACCACTGTATGTACAGTATTGTACAGTATACAGCACCACGGTATCGTACAGTCCGCTCCGATCCACCGATCCACCGATCCAGATTGCCGTATAATTTTCTTTCACTCTGCTTTCCTTCGTGTCTCGTTCCGTTTTTATTTCTCTCGATTCGCTTACTTTCGAATCCCATACTTTTTACATATTTTGGCATCGATCGATTTGCACGTGCATACGACAGTTGCTAGAAAAAAGTCACGCGAAGCTATGTCTTTTCGTTGACGCAAACCGTTTTTCTCATCCATGTAATTTTCAAATTATAAAATATCGCCGCGCGCATCGAGAGTCCAACGAAACGAATCCAAGTTTCGTGGTACGGCTTCGTTGGTAACTTCGTTAGGTATTATATGTATACATAGATTGTTCGACACCGAACAAGGTATCCCCCGTATTTCGCGATACACGTTCGATCGGCAAAAAATTTTCTTTTTAAATGATCGGTGTGGATCACGATTATGTTTAACCGTGCGATAGAATGACACCATCGGATCGGCTTGGCTTGGCTTGGCTTGGCTTGGCTTTACTTGTCTTGGCTTGGCTTGGCTTGGCAAAGGTACCATGTCGAGGGTAGAGAGGCTCGAACGAGGTGGTCTGTTTATTACCCTTAAGTAACCGTTTCCTGCTTGTTTCATTCGCTTCGCAGTCCGTCCAACGACCAACGAACGCGCGCGCTGGCTAGTACGTTCTGCCACTGGACAGACGATCCGATTCATCGCACCTTGCGCGTCTTACGTTTATCACGATAATCCCGAAACATTTTGACGCGTTGACAAGAGCGACGATTCGAGAGTTCCATCGAAAAAACGAATCCCGACAGCAGAGTGAAAGTCCAACGTAAAACCGTACACTCGCGGTTAACGTCCAGGGCCAGGGCTCGAGATCCATTATTCAGTAATCTTTTGAAACGCTCTTGAAAAGAACTCTTTCTTTGGATACTATCGCGAAAATGGGCTTACGAAAAATTGACAAAACCCATAGAAAAGCTTTTCCATGCCTACTACGGCGACCCGCGACGATATTCTCTCCCTTTTCGAACAAATTACGATCGCTTCGGATTTTGCTCGGATACAATTACGATTCGTTTATCCTCGTTTAATCGGACACAAATTACGGTATCTTCCATTTGGTTACAACTTTCACTGGAAGCAGCGATGCTTCAACTTGTTTAGAGACGTCGAACGAATCTCTGAAACTTTCAACGTTATACGTTTGGAATATAATACGCGTGTAATGTTGCAACGTATGTGCTATCGGTGACACCAAGGACAACAAATTTTGCAGTCTGTCTACGAATTGATACGAACGTACCAATGGTGATGGAACAACGGTGCGCTTTATTACTATGTGTGTACACAGCGAACTGCCAACTATGGCAACACAACAACAACAACAACAACAACGATGACGAAGGCGACGACAAAAATCATCTCCTCCACCTACGTTTCGAAGTTTGCACGTAAAACGTTGCCGTGATATCGAAGCGAATCTAGTTGGTCGACGAACGGATACGAACCTCTCGTCGAACAGCTTGCTCCTGTTTTTCTTCAACACAAAACACTTTGTTCGAAGAACGACTATATCACTCCTCCTCGTGGTTGCAGCTCGTTTGACATCGGGAAAAGCTGTTTCGATAACACTCGCCTAACGCATTCCATTTACAAAACACATAGCATCCTGCAATTGACAACACCGACCACTTGCTATTTGCGCGAACATATCCAAATCACCGCTATCGCTAGAACCGACGACAAGATTTCAACCACTGTGATCCAGAACGAACGTACTTAAATGTCCAAGTATCGCAAGCAATCGCAAGTTAACGGCTGTACAGAGAACTCAACGTGCGCGCAAAGCGCAAGCGCACAGGCGCAAAGCGCGTGTACGTTCACGCGAATGCAGAGCCTCTCGTGCGCGCACGCGCGTCTCTACTTACGCGCGTGAATGCATACGACAGGTAACAGTACATATGTACATACGTATACATAAACATATATGTACAAAATTGTACCAGCGCAGCGGAGAGAGTAGAGTAGAGTAGAGAGTAGGGAACACGGGACATAATGAAAATGAAGCCGATCCCAGCCGGTCCCGCTGTCCCGCGGCATCCTGCAGCACCATGTGCCATAGTTTCGTACTTGTTGATCACAGTAGATCACGATAAACAAGCTATGTATACGCGATGCGATTGCTTTTGAAACTCCCTCTCATAGACACGGACTTATGTACATTGTACCCAACTATCGTATTTCCCCCCCACGACGTTGACAGAATTAACTAAACACGGCAGAGAACCCCTATCCAGGTTATAAAACGTGTATGGACGATATATGTTTTGTAGAGGCAAAAAACAATGTTCCTTGTTTGATAAAACAACAACTTTTTCTTTTACGAACGTTTCCTGTACGTACACTTCAACCGGATCCCCATTCGTATTCGTCCATGGTATTTCCATGCCAGCTTCTGTTCTATTGCACATGTATTGTCGGCTCTCCTGCATTCGACGAATATTTTCAGCGTTTATAGATGTACATTCTGCTTTGTACCTTGGTCAACCTTATATACAGGGTGTCCCAATAATGTCTCGCAATCCGGAAATGGGGGTTCCTGAGGTAATTTGAAGTAACTTGTTCCGTAACGAAAATGCAATCCGCGGCTTTATTTACGAGTTATTAACGGCAAATAGTGACCAATGAGAGGCGAGATCGGCTAGCGCGAGACGGCCGAGCCAATGAGCGGAACGTCCTGCAAAATGGACATACAGTAAATATATACATTATGTAAATAATTAGCAATCTACAGCAATGGAACCTACTCTTGCACGCTTTTCTTACTCCCTAAGCTGGCGCGCACATCCTCATCATTTTACTGCGCATCCAATCCGCAGTGAATCCTGTCTCAGTAGCGAACCGTCAGCTAATCGAAGCAAAGAAAATTTCTATAGCGATCCTCGCTAACGGATCAAGCTGCGGCCTGGAGGTGCAGGTCCTATTACTGTACTAACAGAATACAAGTTTTCGACGAGATTCCGACAGGTGTCGCATCGTTATTTCGTCGCGTTCACGATATGAAAGAAAATTCTTGGACCGAAACTATTCTTGAAACGTTAACCTCTTAAACATGTATTTGTTATTTATGTTTATACTATGCGTTCTACTTTGCAATAAGGACTGTAAAAACGATGTTACATAGATTTATATGGGTCTGTAGGTACGATACGATATTTACACACGATAAGTACAGGTATGTACATACACGTACGTATGTAGTACGGAAGCTGTCCTCTTCTAAGTGGGTGTGCTAGTGAGCTCGCCATATTGTGTGTTTGCGCCCGTTGCGCGTTGCTCATCTAGAAGAATTGTACACCGAGTAAGAATGGTTGATACGCTCGGGCCATGGGATTCGTTAAACAAGGGAAATCGTTTCCAAGAATTTCAAGCAATAGGATGGAAGTGTTACGATTCATTGTCACTTAATGCACTGAAAAGTCAAAATTGAAAACACGATGGAGGATGACACGGACATTTACGAAGATCTACCAATCATCGAAATCAAGTCGGATGAGAACGTGGGTATCGTAATGCAGCACTTTTTCTTTAAACGTTAGGTTAAGTTTTGCTTCATGGATACGATCGTACGTACGATGTCCTCAGTTCGTAGCAAACCAGACGGAAAGTAATTGCAGAGAGCGTGAATGCGCAGAATTGAACGAACGAATCACAGAACTTACAGTCAAATTGGAAAATTTTCAAAAGCTAAACGAAAACTTGGAGGTGAATTTGGCGTCTCTGTTGAAGACTGCGAAAGCAGAAATTACACGAAAAGACAGAATGATCGAAGATTTGCGAAAACAGTAAGTATACATCTCCAAGTATAAGTATATATCTCTCCGCAACATTGAAACTACATATTTTTGTAATCCGATACAATTCGTGCAGGCTCGACGATGTAATGTTCAGGAGAGGCGCTTACGGCAAAACAAACAGTCGCGTTTGTAAACCTACATTTGTCGATAATGTAGCAACTCCACCGAATTGGCAGAAAACTGGTCAAAATTCTGTATCTCCGAACCAAAGTAGACGCGATTCGACGGAGGCAGATTCGTCGTATAATCCAACCAATAGTTCTAACCCGACCAAGTCTACTTTAACGCCTCTCACAGTCTACGGCGAGCGGTTGCTGAAAAGAATAGCGGAGGAGCAGTCTATGGAGAAAAGAGGGAAGCAAGCGGGCAGATTTTGTTGTAATAACAGCAGCATTTCGACCATCGACGGATACGTTATAGAAAGCGACAAAGAAAATGGCTCCGTGACCGACGTTACGACTTCTTGTACGAAAGAAATGCAATTGTCCATGGTGAAAGAATATTCTGAGAGAGAGGAGTTCGCGACAACCGATTTTCTAGTCGGAGAGGACAGTGAAATCGATTCCAATTCCAGATTTCAACGGACACCAACGATTGACGCGAACACCATGGACATCGCGGAGGTAAGGAGAAACGACGATAGAGAAAGAACAATGAGCAGAAAGCATATAAAAAAGTATGAGATAAGAGAACGTGCAACGAAATTGAAAAATAATAAAATGCGCGAGGATCTTAACGATGTTTTCGATTATAAGCGCGACTGTACAAAAACTAAAAGATTCGAATCCTTGGAAAAATTTTCCGAGCCACGATACATTACGTATTCGCACACGGAACACAGTCGTTACTGGTACACCGAGCAACAAGGCAAAAAGCGTAGTCATCGTTCGTTCACCGATAAGGCTGGAACAAGTCAGGACGACACGGATGAACATATCTCGAAGAGACATTGCAGGTCGGTCGAAAGATCGTCGAGTACGATGGACGACTATCGATCCAGTAGCGTTGAACGTTATCGAATGAAACAAAGGGAAGATGGTCACGCGGGCGAAATGTGGGGAGATCGTCGATCGCGCGGGAGAAACTCTTCCTGCGAAAGTTCTAAAGAAGAGAAATATAGCAGAAACAAATTCAATCAATACATCGGTTACCGGGAGAGATCTGTCAGACGTTACGATGTCGGATCCAACAGCACGGATGGATCGAAAGCAGCTAAAAGAGAATTTCGCGATTCGCGAAATACCGAGAAGTCGGAGAAATCTGTCAGATCCACGAGTAAGCGGAGCGATCGTTACGAGGATTGCGAATCTCAATTTCAAGAGCGATTAAAAAGCGTTGACAGAGTAGTAAGACGAGACAAGTCGACGAAGCAACACGACGACTATACCAAGTATTCGTCGCATGGAAAATTTGACCGTGAAAACTTAACGGACCGTACACGACATTCCGAAACGTTGAAATCCGAAAAAATCTCCGAAACGAATAAACATTTTGAGAGAATCGATCGTTGCGGGTTCACAAAAAACGACGAAACCCCTTCGACGACGAAAGTTTCCGATTCGTCGCAAAAACACCAACTCGATCGAAATAAAGATTTGAAAAGTGCCGATGTGAACGATGTTGCGCTTGATCCCGGTAATCGCCCGAGCAACAAGAAAGAACGCGAAAGATCAAAAGATCGTTGGACAAACGGAGATCATAAATCGGAATCGTACCTTATTTCGGTCGAGATAGCAAATACGAATATCGTTGGTAGCAACGATGCTACCGCTAACATCGATAATAACGAGAGCGCGGAAAATGTTGAGAACATCGAGAAATTTATTCGTAATTATAACGCCGACAGCGATCACTTTGAAAATAGTTTGGATGGAAGAGACGACACGTCAAACACCGCGAAAGAGCATGCATCAACGATGAACGATATTTTCGAGAATAAAATAAATTTTAAGGAACAATGCGATACCGTTCGCACGAATGGCGCAGAGTCTGTTAAAACGGATACGAAGCTGGAATCGAAGCATGTGTCTCGAAAAGTTTCCCTGGATTCTGCGCAGAATGGTGCAAAAGAAAATGAAACGACAGCTGTGGTAACACACGTACCAAATGCAAAAATCTCGACGGCACAGAATAATAGTACGTTGCGCGAAACCTACCAAATGTTAGAAAGTAATTCGATCGATTCGACAGACGACAAGCCGTCGATCAACTCGAATATTAAGGCAACGAATACTAATATTTCCTCGAATATCAACAGTGATGGTAACGGTAATGGTAACGATAATCGTGAAGGTAAGGATAACAGCAGAATCTGTGGTACAAGAATTTTCGAAGATTCCGTTATCGATAAGATAAATAGCAGTTGTAACGACGGTGTTATTAATGTCGCTACGGGTAACGGCGACGACAACCAGAGTCACAACCAGCATGGGCATCGCGAACACAAGAAGCATAGCAACGTTAACGTCTACAAGAAAAGCATTGAAAATGATCGCAATACGATTAAAGACGAAGAGCAAACGAACAAAAGACTAGCCAGCGAAAATCTGATGGTAAAATTAGATAAAAGACTAGAGAACGAAGAAGGGCAAGTGAAAAAGGAAACAAAGGAGTACGATAAAGCTGTGATAGTAGAGGTATCTCGGGAAACTGAAAAGTCTCCGATTAATTGTGACAGTATAAACGGAAAAAATACGCCTACGAAATTGCACGGGAAAATTGTTGTCTTTGCACGGCGCAAGAAACCTGTATGCTTAGCAAACAATAATGCAAACATGACTGTTCTTATAAATAACAGCCACAACCTTAACAATAATTGATGCAGATCCGATTAGTTGTACGATGAAACGCAATTCTTTGGTAACAAAAGAAAAGCAATCGGAAAAAACAAAAGAAAAGCAGCACAGCGATTGGTTGAGAAACACGAAAGCGTTCGAAGCGAAGCAAAGCAAGCATGCCTTGAATCGCGACACACGTGTCGTATTCAGAATTAATACAAATGACTTGAGAAACGAATGATGCAAGATCGTTGTCCAGGAAAAAGGAGTTTTATAAAATGCTGTAGATACCAGTGAAATATGTACATACTGTTCAGGGGAAAGTACTGTATATTAGTAAGTTTAACATTTTTCCTTCGAATCTGTACCATGTACATGCAATATTGTGAATTCGAAGTAAAACAATCAACGTTAAGGAGTCTGTCCGTTCAACAACTATAACGCCGCGACTTCTTTCAATATTTGCAAAACTCTGGAAATTGTTGAAAATTCTTGGAAATCGAGATGGTAATCGAAATGTTTTCTTCATTATTTTTTTGAAATAAATATCATGAAATAAACTAGCATTGTGCTTAATTGATCGCTAAAACAGTCAATAAAAAGTTTTGTCTAGAACGAACTCTGGTCTAAAAACCCCACCAATTAGGTTACAGGACAGAAGGCAACGCGCGGCGACGCAAAGCGGAGCGTCCTAGCGTCGCACACGGTCTGCGCTGTCGCAGAGTCGGAATAGACCGAACAAAACCGAGAGAAAAAAGAGAGAGAGAGAGAGAGAGTGAGTGAGAGCGCGGGCAGGCGAGATATGTAGTACACGAGAGAAGAAGAGAGGGAGAAGAGGAAGTATGAACATTGATATATCGCGTACATAGCTGTCGTTTATAAGATTTGAATAATTCTGCAGAGCGCTGGTGAAAACAAGTTTCGAAAATCCATAGATATGTATAGGTAAGGGGCGGATGGTTTACCGAGCGTCCCTAAGTCGCGCATCACCCTGAATTCGCGGCAACACCTCATCGTTCGTCCAGCCCAGATTCCGATCGATTCTTCCGTACTGCTAGTGTTCGTGTCGCTAACAGCTTCGCGGTCCCGAAATATGGGCTCGATCGTTCTAAAGTCACTCTCGGTTCTCCTTGGAATATTTTTTGTTTTCGTCGGCACTATGAAGTTAACTTCGCACATCAGTAAGGATCTTCACAAGGACTTGGTGAGTCAAAGCTTGCTTTTAGAACGTAATTATGTAACAGAAATTTACCCCATCTTACGGGTCACGTTTCACTCGACCGAGATTCTGTTTTCGCCGATATTTCCGTATTCGTTGCGACCCTGGCCCTGTTATCAGCTCGCACTCTGTCATCTTTCCTACTCTAGCTTTCGCACGTCACAACGTGTTCAACCGTTGTATCTTGTCGTGTTTTGACGCGTCATATCGCATCGCATCGCGTTGCGTCGCGTACCGTTCTTTTTCCCTCGCCCACCCCCGTATTTACATGACAACGCCATTCGCTCGTGCAACAACGTATATATCTCGTTATCGTTCGCCTCTCTCGATTCTTTCATATTAAAGCGTTTTTCATGAAAAAAGATATTAGTTCTCTCACCAAACAAGACATTTCGACGATGCGATTATCCGCTCGATCGAAACTACCGATCGAAACGCGCGCATTTACGGTTCTTTCGCAACCACTTTTTTGGTCTAAAATATAATATCGAAAAAGAACTCTGGTTCTTGAATATGTGATATCGAATCGAGAAAATCGATTGTTCCGAGAGCGGGAAACAGAATTAGGAAATACAAACCCGAGTTACAATATGAAGAATGCGAAACGAAACAGCGATATACATTCGATCGAGATATCGATCTTTGTTGGTCGATAAACAGTTCGCGCAATCGGCTCGTCGAAAGATTCAATTTCACGTAATTTCTATGAAATTTTAAGGTGATTCGATTTGCTTTGATGCGACTCTCTCGAAAAGATTATTTTCGTCTGCTGTTGTTACTCAATGTCCAAAGTTATAGTTATAAACTGCGGCAGCTTTTGGTGTTCGGCCAAATATCATCGCGAGTGCCAGCATTCGATGTTCACTGGCCAGGCGATTGTGATAATTATCATCGCTCGAGTACCTACGCTACTAAGTCGCTACGCTATTCGCGATAGTCGGTAGTCGGAAGAGCAACCACCTTTTCCATAATTACCCGCTGCATTGAATTAGACGATTGCGTTGTTTGTTGTTTATTGCAGAGAAAAGAATATGTCAAGTACGCGAAAGTGTTTCCTCTATCCGGTACATTGGACTTCAAAGTACCGAGCAAGTGGTACAGAAGAGTCGTCGGATCGCTCGAAATCATCTGCGGGCTCGCAATGGCGATAGTACCTAGTCGTAAGAAAGCAATATATTTTTCTCTTCTATTTTATGTGTGTATCAGCCTCTCTCTACGATACTCTGCTCACAAGACTATCTTACATTTTCAGATAAGATTAAGAACGCGTCGAACGCAGTGTTACTGTTACTAATGTTAATGGCCGTGTATTCTCATTACATGGTTAACGATAAATTCGAAAGGATCGCTCCGGCTTTGGTAAGAGTAGAAACAACGAATATATCGCGCGCTACCACTATGAACTATTGAACATGAAATAATGCAGAATGTACCTTTAGGTGTTCTTCTTTATGCTGACGGGGCGTCTAGTGATAGACTGGCAATTGAGACGAGAGGACGCGCAATCGGTAACGGCGAACGGTTTGGACGACAAAACCAAAAAACAGGACTGAATTCGTAATTGGTTTCTCGCGTACGCGTGAACGCGAAGCTTCGGTTACCGCGGTACTTTGTTTTTTTGCGCGTACACTATTATCCGAGATTCTAGCCGACGCGGTCGAGCTAAAAATTTAACGTTAACAAATTGAAAATAAAATTTTCACGGGCTTTGCTATTCTCACGATCTTCCATGTTCAGAGTCGAACGGAAACGAGTCGAGTCGATTCGATCGACATCCGGAATTTGTTGCTTTCCGTGAGTGCTTACCGCGAATGTGATAATCGAGTTTCGTTATCGTTATCGTTTTCGTTTTCGTATCCGTATCCGTGTTGTTCGTGTCCGCGCCGCGTGTCAACCGTATTCTTCCAAGTTTACTTGGTCGTATTTTACACCGGGTCTTTCGAACTTCGAATTCGGGAGAACAAAACTATCGTTTCGATTAATTGTCTTATCGAAAGAAAAAAACCCAATTACCTGCGGTATTATAATAATCTAGTTGTGTGTGGCCACGATGGCTAATGCGAAACTTTAGCTCAAACACAAGGTATTAACTGCCATTCGAATTAATGTGTTCCCGTGATATTGTGTTAAGATGTACGTGTCCTTAGATGATAATTAATATCAGCATTTCAATGCACTTTTAATTTCCCTCGTTTTCCCTTTTCAAGCATGTCCTTGATTCGATTTACGACGAAAACGCGTTAGTCTAGAATTGTTGAATAAATCGAAAACGAGAACCGCGTCATCCATCCATATAGAATATCTACCGTTTGGTGTGTTTACAAGCAATCGAATATCCACCTGTTCGTAGATCGCGACGCGTCTTTCGGCCAGCCTCGACGCAGTCCGATATTGGAATATTTTTAATATTTCGTGTTTCGTGTGTCGAACAAAATTGAGGTTTGTCGAGAAAACCGCTTGAAATGAAGGGCACACGATAAATATTAAAAACACACGGCATAACATGTTTGCAAAATCAACAAACAATTTCTTATTTTCGAACAAATTCAAACATCGTAGCAATATCGTTTAAAGTTTTGACAAATATTTAATCGACCGAAAGAAAAAAATCCGGTTCGTTCTTTAGAATGATTAATATTTTTTAGCATGTAAGAACGCCGTCAAATATTTTAGATACCAGAAACCATATTTACAACACTTCTGATACTATCTTATATACATATGTATACTCGTTATACGTATACATTTGCATACCCATACACATATATACACCGTACACGTACACGTTCTTAGCCTTCTTTGTCGACTTCGGACCAACTTTAAATCATGCTTATCGAGCATACGCGTAAGCTCAAACAATTCGACGCGTAAACGCGTAAAAATTTTTTTACTAGTGTCGCATATCGATTTTTTCTCCTTTCCTACCTCAAGAACTGAAAAGAATAAGCAAGATTTTCAAATTAGTTATCGCTCATGGTGTAATAATATCATTATTTTTCATTCGTGTCCCTTTTACGTGTCTTATATTATATACTCGAATCAGCCATACATACGTTACCGTGACAAATGTCGATACAAGCATCGATTCACCTTCGATTTTCAAAGTAAACAAAGACGAGTGTGTTGGGAAGAGAAAAACAACTTTCGTTTTCGGTGTGGCTGTATGTAATATAACACGAACAATTCAATAAATAACTTATAATTTTTACTTTTGTAACAGTTACATTCTAAACGTACATGTTTTTTCATTTAATCGATGAAAGAATAAACAACGATCCAATTCATTCTGTTTCTTGACCGGTGGTCAACAGATTTAAAGCTTTTCGAAGATTTAACACAGCTGTTGGTACATCGTCGTAATTTAAAGCGCTTCCAGCCCATTTTATTAATTTCTGTGCCTTGTTCATTTGATCCAATGTCAAGCCGATTCCTAACAAGCATGTCCCAATAATCTAATAATATAAATCTCGATCGAATCTAATAATATTTCATATTTGCTATACTCTACCTTCTGTTTCTGTAGTCGGATGATAGTCGTCTCTAATTTCAGAGCCTCCTTCTCCCATACTCCCTTTCTTAGGTAAATTTTTCGTCGTTGTATCGAACGTGTCGTTGCCGACGACATTACCTGTCTTGTCCAAATCTAAGGATGTTTCTCTTTCCCCTGGTGTTGCCTGATCGTCGAGACCGTCCTCCACTTCAGCTAAATCGATTAATTAATAACATTATACCGAGATACAGTCTCTGTTAACGGACCGTCGCCCGTGCTATTACCCGAAGCGATACCTTCCGTATTGTCCTCTATAGGTCCGGGTACCGGTGTCTCTCCATTTTTTAAGCAATTATGAATATACGTCGCCTTCCATTTAGCATATTTTCTATTTTGCGCTGCTTCCTCGCTCAATTCACCGAATACAGTCAAGATATCGTACAGCAGTCCGGCAGTGAAGAAGCTTTGAATCGTAGATCTACTAAAGTCGCCTTCTCTATCCTTTTTATCCGCATAAAGAAAAAGCTTCAGAGTCCAGTTCTCTATATGTGCTTGCGCAGCTATGTCGTTTGAAATGGCTTCGTTCCCTCGTAATTCTTTTTTAGTTGTCTCTAACCAATCCATTAATTTCAGTAAAAAATTGTTGTCGTCCAATGTCTTCGTTGAAAGTTTTAGTCCTGTTTGGAGAGCGTATAGGCGACCTATAAAAACACCATCTACCATTACGCTTCGAAGATACGCAATAATTTACAATCGTCTGCATCGCGATACAAGAATTAATACGTACACCAATAACTAATAACATTATCTCGTTGATCGTGACTGGCTGCTATCTTTAAATATTGCTCTATGCTTCTCAAAGGAGGCGGAACATCTGGTAAATCTGGATTAACCATATTGACTGCAAACGTTGTACTCGTCTTCGCTATGGATACTGTTTTTGTTAACGTTCTTACCGATGTTCTATTATCGCGTATATATCTTATTTTCTGGCAACATTTACAAAAATTAGGACAAATCCACCGTGTCGATCGAAGGTGTACAAATATCACCGTTCAACATTCTGTCAAATCTGCTCGACTACATTATTCATCGTTCGTTTTATCAACTTACCTTGTCTTTTTCAAATCAATTTCCCTGCCACTTGCGTAATTGTTAAAAATTCCAGCAATATACAATGCAGAAAATAAAATATATCTTTTCCTCCCATTAATTCTCTACAATTCCATATCATTTTATCGAAATTGTGATCATTTGTAATCAGGGGTCCTAGACGCCTGACCGTTCTTGGAATTTCCACTCAAGGCCAGTGTGTCCATTCGTGTCTAATGTGTCCAATGGTGTCAGGGATTCTGCTCGGAATCTACTCCAAGTGGTAGAGAAGAGATCTCACAAATGGGATTGGATGATGCCATTTTGCAGCACATTTCGAAGCAGCTCTGAAAATACTTTGCCTGTGTCATGTGCAAGTTAATTTCGAGCTCTGATGTACGTAGTATTCTAGAGACGAAATAACGTCTCCGATTCTGATTGGTGCTTCCATGTTTAAGCACGATCCATAAAGGACAGTGTCTCGACGGCGACGACGGCGACGACGGGTGAGGGGCAAAGACGGAAGGGGACTCCGACCATCTGCTATATTTATTTTACTTTGTTCAAAGAAAATACAACTTTAGACATTTAGGTCTATAAGTCCTTGATTTATAAATACGTTATCCTTATCTTATCTGTAGGTAAATAATTAATTAATTGCCCTTTGATGTTTAGTTAATCATTATGTTGTTAATTATTTCAATGTGTTTAACTATTATGTTAAGGGTGCAGCAGACCATCTCCTCAACAATTTCTGTGTCTTTTGTTCAGTTTTTTATGTTCTAATTTTGTCAAAAGTAATGTTTTTAAGCGATCCTGCATTAGTCAGATGTGGGCAACTGTGGCTCCATAGTATAGTAATAGAACCTACTTCTCTCTGCTCGCTTCTCTTACTCTCTAAGTTGGCACTCGCATCGCCACCATTTTACTGCGCACCCAATCCGTAGTGGATCCTGACTCAGCAGTGAATTGTAAGCCAATCGAAGTAAAGAAAATTTCTATGTCGAACCTCGTTTACGAATCAATCTGTGGCCTGAAGATGTGCAGGATTAGGACCCATTGCCGTACATATAAGGAGAGTCTCCTTGAGAGGGAGATGATCTGCATGAAAATTAAAACTGTGAAACTGTAAAACATCGAAAAGATCAAAATCGGAGCACGGTAAAACAAGAATAAGTTTAATACGTATAAATGCAAGAATCGCAACTACGATCTATGAATTTTGTATCTCTTATTATTGAAATGTTGTAGATGTCCAAAAAAATAATCAAAGGTTATAAAGTGACATAAAGAAAAATGTTAGTAGTTTCGCGTGTTCGGACAAAACGGAAAATGGTATCACACGATAAAAGTATGGGATTTGGGATTAGTAGGAATTAAACACAAACTTGCTGACAACGCAAGTTTTTTTACATTTTTTTTGCCTTTATGTCGCTCTGTAGTAACAGCGTCCGCCGACTGGCATATTAGGTTATACAACCCGAGATCTATAGGTACACTAAGAATTTGAATTTCAATGCGAATTATTGTAAATTCTATAAATTGAATGCAATTTATTTTCGAAGGCATGCTTGTGAAAACATTATTCACTTGTCACATGCGATGACTACAATATATGTATGTGAAGTGATCATGGATGAGAATTTATTTATTTTAAAAGCATACGATAACGACATGAAACTTTGGTACACTAAAAAGTATGTTAAATCAAATAAATCAGTATTAAATTGTGCAACAAAGTGTGCAAGGATCTAAACAATTGTGAAACGTTTTTTTTCCTAGCTCCAAAACATCGTTATTCGATCTATTCGAACACGAAAAAAAAGGCTTATGCTGCAATTGGTTGAATCAAATATTTATGGTATCGGAGATGCAGATAACGCTGCAAAACTATTTCAATCGAAACACGTCTATCGCTAATGACAAATTAACGACACGGTGTGTAATTATTAAATACAACAGGACCAACAAAATATCTCGCCTGTAAAGCGCAAATCAAGAGGCATAAGAGTTTTAACTAGTTTCATATTTGTTTTAGTCCAGATTAACCGATGTATTCGTTTAAATGAAAACATTGAAAAGTTCAATGTACATATTGCCGCAATAAAACCTACCGATCGGATCGTGTAATCGCTATAAAAGAACGAGATAGAAACGAACGACTGCTCACGCTTGCGGTTACAACGGCGTATTTGAAATAAACGTGAATGCGAAAAACCAAATACTGTCCATGCTTGAACAGTACATGATTACTTTCGTAGGAATAAACGTGATTCACGAAATTATAAGGAAAAAGAAAACAAAGAGAAGCACGAGATTTTGGTAAAAATATTGTACGGCCCAAGAAATAGCTCTCAGCATCGTCAAATAAAAATTCCCACTTTTATTTCAATGATCTCTTTCGCAATGTGTTGTTAAGTTTTTAATTTACCCTTGTATTTTACATCGTTACAAAACCACCACTTAATTGACAAAAGAGGAGAGATCTAGTAATCGTTCGTACATTGTCAGCACCTAGATGTATTATATCCCAGTTTGTGTTCGTCTTTCTTTTTTGCAAAGAATTTCAAATTTATTGCGCACAAATTAAAAGCATTTACTCAAAATAGTACAAATTCGCATCAGCATAAGGTAAGTTTAAAAATACCTAAGAAAAAGACTCGCGTTCGTTTACGTTCTAGCGTCGTATTGCCAAAGATCGCGAACGTTGGCTTGGTAATTCTCCGTGGTCTTCGGTCTCGCAAGAAATAATCGCTACCGTCAGTTTATAACAGAGGCGGACGCTGGATGTATTACATGATACGTTAGGATAATGTGGGGGGGGGGGGCTTAAGATTTTAATATTTACTTACACGGGACAATGTCTTTTTCAGTCTATTGCACATGCTGTACTGCTACGCGCGTTAGTATACACATTTCTTTCATCTATTTTCCTCATAAATTGATGAAGCATGTATTTTTCGTTTCTGTTTAATTCTTTGTGTTCTCTTGCTTATTTTCTCACCTCCTTCGCTTTTCCCACATACTCGCACTTGCGCGCACACACACGCACACGCACGCACACACACACACACACACGCATACGCACGCTCGTGCGCGCGCTCTTGATTTCCCTCTAAATCCTAAAGAATACTAAAACACGTGTTAAGATTTTGTGTTCGTTTTCATTCGAAAAAGGCATATACAATAAGTCGCTACTTGATTCGATAAAAGGCATATTCAGTGTGAAGTCACGTGTAAATAGAGCCACTGATTTTTGTACGAGATTAAGGTTTTCTTTTGCAGACTTTTATATTTCGTTTATCCCTTTCTCGTATTATGTTCAATTATATAAGCAATACACTCTACAACGTTTGTTAAACAACATCCGATTTACCGGATGAAAAGGGCATGTTTAACATAGAAATCTTTTGCTATTTGGGGATTCACTCTCTATGGACGAAGAGAGATGCAAAACAGGCTCTGCACCAATATGCATCGCATTGAAATCAGGCCGGAAACGCGAATTACCAAAGTTGTTGTAACGTAATGCAAAACATCTTATTTCTATACAATTTAACCAGGAAAGCAACTTTGGACATTGATCGTATAAGACATAATTTTAATTCTGCATCTTACCGTTGTTACCAATAATTCTATCTATACGATGCTTTGCTCTGATCAAAATTCAGGAAAGGAAAAGAAATGGATTCGAATAAATCCCTAAAACAGAGTGTTTATTGATCAAAAATAAGGGATGATAATAATTAAGAATTTGATTTTTTCACTTCGTAATGTACCAAACCATACTTGTAAGTATAACTCTAAAACTGTTTGGAACACGCTCTCTGGTACAAAGGTGTAGAGTGATGTTTCAGAGCGTGTACACGCAGCGTGCAGTTTACAGTAACAGTGTGTCTGCAGTCTGTGTCACGTAATAGGCAAATGGCATTAAAATACGCATACCTATGAAGTACATACACCTATGTACCACGTGCTCGATTTCACAGACACACACGCTCTCTCTCTCTCTCTCTCTCTCTCTCTCTCTCTCTCTCTTCCTTTCGCTCGGATAGATATTGACACTTTCTCTCCCTTTCTCTCTCGCAGGCTCGCTCTCTCTTTCTTTCCTGTGTTCAATTGTATCGTACCTTTTTTGTTCTTTTTTCATTTATATTTTTTAGAAGACTCTATCTAACCCCCACATTATCTCACACAAAGACTAGCGTTTTTAAACGATCCAAAATAAACTAAGGGCACTTTTAGTGGCGTATGCCCTGTTCTTATTTCAAGTTTCATGAAAAATCTAATTCTGAACATTCTTCAACTTTGTTGTTGTTTTTCTTCTCCATCATTATAATCGTTATCCGCCATCATCGTAATCATCCTCATCATCATTGTCGCCGTTATCATCCTCATCATCATTGTCGTCGTCATCATCATTATCTTCCTCCTTCTCCACTTCATTATCATCATCATCGCCACCATCGTAATCAAAATCATCATCATCGCCACCACCATCATCATAATCATAATCATCACCGCCATCATCATCATCATCATTATCATCATCATCATCATCATCATCATCACCACCACCATCACCACCACCACCACCACCACCGTCATCATCATGATCATCATAATCATCATCATCGTCATCATCATCATCGTTATCTTCATCATTTTTTTTTTGTTACAGCACCTATCGACTACTAAGAGTCCCTATCTTAACTAGCTATGACACACTTGCCTTAATCTAAAATTTTCATTACGTGCTATGCCTCGCCATCTTAAAATATTCGAACCTAGGTATTTTTTTCTTTCTTCTTCGCCACAATTTTCCATTTTTTTCCTTCCTTAAAACGATTCTTGTATGCGCGCGCGTATGCGGAACCAACATTTTTCTCGCGACATTAACCCGAAAATTGTTGCTTCGCCGTATTCTCGTTGGTCATGCATCGCAATAACAATATCGTAGTGGTGGATAGACAGAACGCGGAACGAAAAGTGAATAGAAAAAAATCTATTAAAACAGACGGTACACGGTACTTTTTCGGAGAATTACGTGTTTCCTCGTCTTGCCTGGCGATGCGAAATAATTTGAAATCTACGCGATAATTGTGATCGGGGAGGAACTGGCGATGGGGAAAGGTAACGCAAGGAAGAATTAAAAAATGAGAAGGGTCAATATGAAAAAAATCTCTGGTTATACCTAGAAAAAAAAGAAAAAGAAAAGAAGAAACATATCCGATGCTTAACAATGTAAAACAGCATGACTTAAAATTCGATAAACCTAAGAGACTGTAGAAGTCGGCGTGCGATGATGCGCTCGCGAAATCATTAAAGACAACTCGGATTCGCTTTGCTTAAGCCGATTTTCGACTAATCTTACTTTTTTTTCATTTTACTTAAAAAACATCCTACGTTTTTTTTCATTTTATTCTCATCTTTCTACAATCAGCCTACGACTACGTGTGACAGTGTGTATGTGTATGTTTGTACGTATAGATGTACGTATTTATGCATGCTGTTTCCAGAGTTTCCCTCCCTCTCCCACTCCCTNCGCAATAACAATATCGTAGTGGTGGATAGACAGAACGCGGAACGAAAAGTGAATAGAAAAAAATCTATTAAAACAGACGGTACACGGTACTTTTTCGGAGAATTACGTGTTTCCTCGTCTTGCCTGGCGATGCGAAATAATTTGAAATCTACGCGATAATTGTGATCGGGGAGGAACTGGCGATGGGGAAAGGTAACGCAAGGAAGAATTAAAAAATGAGAAGGGTCAATATGAAAAAAATCTCTGGTTATACCTAGAAAAAAAAGAAAAAGAAAAGAAGAAACATATCCGATGCTTAACAATGTAAAACAGCATGACTTAAAATTCGATAAACCTAAGAGACTGTAGAAGTCGGCGTGCGATGATGCGCTCGCGAAATCATTAAAGACAACTCGGATTCGCTTTGCTTAAGCCGATTTTCGACTAATCTTACTTTTTTTTCATTTTACTTAAAAAACATCCTACGTTTTTTTTCATTTTATTCTCATCTTTCTACAATCAGCCTACGACTACGTGTGACAGTGTGTATGTGTATGTTTGTACGTATAGATGTACGTATTTATGCATGCTGTTTCCAGAGTTTCCCTCCCTCTCCCACTCCCTCTCTCTCTCTCTCTCTCTGCATGTACGCATATGTACGTGTGTTCACGTGTGATTCTATAATCTAAGAAGAGGCTATCGCTAGAATTCTAATGAAAGCTTACGGAAAGCAGCATTGCTTGGAAACAGAGTTCCAAAATGGTTTCCTTTTTCTTCATAAATCACACCCGGTCAGCCCAAGCACCTGACCCGCGGTGCGCAGCAAGCAGTCCTTACTATTTATATTACAGTAGATAATATGTTGTAGAATAATATAATATTTATTATTAATATGAATAGCCAGTCAGTCTTGACGGGTGCGAGGTGCATAGGCTGAACGGTGCCTCGCCCTGATGCGTTCAAAACATGGAGAGGCAGTTGTAACCTAACTATCGTCTAATTATTTACCTACACTTAATCGTTCAATCGATTACTTCCTATCCAAAATGGTGCCTAGCCTAATTCATAGTCAACACTAACTACACAACATTTCGCGCTGTGTCCTTTTCAATCTTCTATACTCTATACAATAGTTGCGTTCGCTCGTTCCTACCTCACTTTCATTCATCCCTTTTCACGCACGCTAGCTCTCTCTCTCTCTCTCTCTCTTTCCCTCTCTTTCTTTCTCTGTCGCTCGTTCTGAATCGGCTTTTCTCATTTGTTTTCTTTTTACCTCAGAAACTACTTCCATGCTTCTGTTTCGTACGTTTCACTTTTCCTTCCATTCGCCCACTCTATTTCTTTCGCACCGTTATACCTATCACTCTGAATCTATGTTCCTTTTCCCTCTGTCTGGCCACTTTATAGTGCGGTTCCGTATCTGCGTTGGTATCTACCGGAGCTGGCGTTGTATTCCTTTTTTCCCCTTTTAGTCGGCCGAACCGGTGTTCATCCGCTCAGTTAGCAACAAACGTTGCTCTCTTTTTGTTTGGTCGTCACAGTAATAATTAGTTATTTAGTACAAGTCTATTTAGTAAAATTCTTCAAAATTCACTATTAAATCACATGTGATTTTTGTTGTCAGTCGTGGTGACAATCGCTTGTGCAACAATTACATGCTTGCAAATAGGTTCTCCCTTTCACCTTCCTTTCTTCATTCCTTCCTTTCTATCTTTCTCTTGCTCTCTTATTATTTTTTTAAATCTCCCTTAATGCATGGACTCAAATCGAGTAATAATCGGTCTCTTAAAAAATAGCTCATACCACTTTTTTCATCTTTTATCTCTTGTCATCAAATCGTGATGTACCAAAATAAACTAAATATATTATTTACTTCAAGTCTCAACAGTGTAAAAATCTTTCATACTTTAGATGACGTCAATAATAGTAATCGTTAATTATAATAATACAGCGTCATTATTGTAATATTATAATAATAGCTACGTTCGCCTCTAACTCTATCTAACTACCTGCCCGTCACATCGAGCCTGGAGCTCGCAATATTTGGTAGAAAGCTTTCTGCTAATCGTTCCTCGATTTGACCTAAGTCAGACAACGTGAAAACTGTTGTGCTTGATGTAAAAAGAAACGGGCTTAGAGGAACGCAGGAGAGGAGGGTGTTCTTTGTTTTTCGTCTTTTCCTTTCCGTGTGTGTTTCTCGCGAGACCTTGCGTAGATAGAAAAATTCTCAACTTTATTTCCCTTCGTACGTCTCGTCTTCCCTTATCCTTTTTCTTCTTTCTTCCCCCTCGCTCATCGTTCTCCTCCAGTCCCATTATCCGAATCTCCTTTCGCTTTCGGTTATTACTTTTTCTTTTCACTCATTTAGCAACACGCTCATTCGTTCGACATAATAAATTAATTTACACTCTATCTATCGTATTCTCTCCGTCGCGTAACGACCCCCTCTACTTGTTTTCCTTTCGTTCTATCGCACTTCTTTCTCTCGGGCGGTGGTGTGTATATTTGAATATCATGATTCACAGATCGAAACCGCCGTTTGATTTTCTTTATTGTTCCTAAGACTCCGCACGCGGATGTGTGGTTTCCGGCCCGTCTCCCAATCCCGTTAGTGGCAACTATACACATACAAAATCTATTCGAAATCCGAATAATCAAAAAACAAACGCAGTGACATTTAACTGGCTACAACGCAAAAACAATTATATTCTCTTAACTAGAAGATCAAAATTTGGCTCAAGTTTCGCAATATTACATACCGACGTAAAAATATATTATAATTATTTTTTCAGCATATCCTTCTCTAACGGATTTGTCTGAAAAGGCACAATTCTAAAAAAAATATCTGTATTCACTGTACAATTAAAACTGATATTCGATTCGTAGTAACTGTACTCATAAATATAAATCTTCTAAAAAGTACTATGTTCCTTTCGTTCATTGTTACAATAATTACATATCATCCTGAAAAGGTTTTGTTTCCTTTTTAGAAATAAAGCTTTTCGTTTTTATTTATTTTCATTTCTTTTTTCTCCTTTTTTCGCTAATCTCCGTTTCCTTCAAGTATTCGCAGTTTTCTGCGTTTATTTTAAAATATATTATTTGTCCGTGATTGTGAAAAAAAGAAAACCGCGAACTGTACTCATAAAAAGTAGATAAAAATCTTCGCGTGGCAATACATACATACAATATATATGCCTGGCTTGGAATGTCTGAACAAAAACAGAAAAAAAAAAGAAACAAAATGTAATAATCTGTCTGTCCGTTCGTCCGTCCGTTCGTCCGCGTCCGTCCGTCCGTCCGTCCGTTCATCCGTCCGTCCGTCCGTTCTGTGTGTACGCGCAAGTGTCCTATATGTGATGAGAGTGTAATTTGTGGATGGGGTGGTGTATGCTGTTAAGGAAGAGTATGTTCTCAGCATCTTCGTAGGTAAAAGAACACTGATCGATCGCCTCTTCTTTCGCAGCTCAGCCACCGGCCAGCCAGCTGGCACAAGTCCGGTAGGTACTGATTATAATCAACTGAATCTGAATGACTTTTTTCTTTTCTTTATCAACTCTAGCATTGGAAGTGCTTTTGTTTCTCTGTATATCGTTATTATTATAATTATTATTATAATTATTATTATTATTATTTCTTGGGAAGAATTCTCCTTTGTATATTTCTGAGCAGCGTTTCTTTTATAGTTTACACATTTTTTGTTAAAATATTTATTCACACTCTCAAGCGTTCAGCTTCGACTTATCGTCTCCTTAGTAAATGTAATACCTAAAGTTAATCCTGGAAGCCTAACAGCTTGACACTAAACTGTCCGTCGCAGAATATCAATTTTTTCTTTGTCACTGTCGTAATGATGTGTTGGCGATTACAGCGTATGGAGCCGTGCTGGTGCCGAACAATGTAGATGACACAAGCACTCGTACCCCCTTCTTATGACAACATTCATTCTCTAATCGTTGGAAAATATTAACTACTTTCACCTATTTATCTGGTGGATAAAATGTATAAAAGATGGCTGGCAAGTCAATTATCATGAGGAAGAATCTTATCTGACTTTATGTAATGTATTTAGTCTCATCTATTCTTCATTAATATAATCCTTCGTTTCAACAGGTGTTGTTCTCCTAACTTACATAACCCTCGGTGTAATCGTATCTGAAATACCACAATTACAAATTTACATAACATTGACCCGAAATGTGCAGGTTTATCTAAAAGATTTGTCTATACAAGTGCATCTAATGGAAAAGTTAAAAAAAACGCGCACGTGCGTTCATTTTGTGTGTGTGTGTGTGTGTGTGCGCGCGCGTGCGCGCGTGCGTGCGTGTGTGTTGTCGCGTGTGTGCGTGTGCGCGCGTGTATGTAGCGAGAGAGACGTACATGTTATCCATACCTAAAAACCATAGCCTACTTAGGCTGCTGAGCTTGGTATTGTTGATAGGAGTCATCAGGAGATGCCGCGTTACTTGTCTGTTCAGAATCACCCAATGGCATGGTATGAATAATGCTAGGAGGGTAAGTAGTATAAGGATAAGGATGTGGGCTTGCTGCTATGTACTGGAAAATGCAATATTGCAATAGATAATGATCGAGAGCTAAACCCAAACACAAGTATGTATCGAAGTAAAAGCAAAGAGACTTACGGAACCAGTGCCAAGATGCAATGTAGACATTTGCGTTGTAAGCTGAGGAATCATACTGTACTGTGGATTGCTAGGATCTGCTGATGGCATCATCTGTAACATTAAAATTCTATCAAATTTTCAAGTTTGTGATTTATACTATTATCGATCTTAATTGAAAACTTGCAGATTTTTCTATAGCAAAACACTAATCTGAAGCAAAACGTATCTAAAGTAAAACATATCGAAGGTATGCAAACTCTTCGAACGAATAAGAAATATAATAAGGTACATATAATATTTCAAAGGGGGGAAAAATAAAAAGAAAAACAACGAAAAAATTGTACAAAAACTCACGTCGACCTGTTGCATATGTGGAGGGGCAGTTTGCACCAAATAAGGAGTAACCCATGGAGCTCCTGGTACACTGTAGCCAGGTAATGCTTGACCATAGTGACGACTATATTGCGTTAAAGTGGCTGCCGGTAGCATGTGAGTGGTTGCAACTCCATTTTGACCAACGCCACTTGTATCATAATTCAGTGTAATATTCTGTAAACAGAGACGCACGCGTTATATCGCTTAATCGTGCATGTACACTGTATATGCATACTGCGATCTTCGTATAGTATAACACAGTATTTCTATAGTATTTGTAATGTAGGTTTGGAATGCCTGAGTTACAAAGTTTTACGAAAGTACCTACAATTTAATATTTTATTTCTACCCAAGAAAATCAATTACCTCTCCAGTTTCTCTCCATATTGTACTTTTGTATAATGACTTTTTCTTATTACCACCATCAGCAAATTTAACCAAGAGTGGATCTTTAGCTCCTTGCAACGCCTTTCCATTAAACATCTGGATAATCTGTTCGCATTTCTCTTTGGACTCCATTCTAGGACAAATATTCGTGTTATTGCTATGAAATGCCAAGAATATGTCATGTATTTATGCAAACATCGATGCTAACCTTGCAAATCCAACACCTTTACTTTGTCCAGCAGTGTCGCGTAATATACGCGTTGAGATAACTTGCCCATACTGAGCGAGCAATCCTTCAACATCATTTTCTTTGAAGTTCAATGGTAAGTTTGCAATATACAAATTGGTGGGATCCTGCTCCTGTTGCTGAGAAGAGAGTAAAAACACTATGCAACTTATTGTAGTATATTCCTGGATATGTATATATATGTATTTATATAAATAGAATTTCAAAAAGGTTTCATATCTATCATTTTAACATTCATGACTGAATTATAGGTAACGTTTGCATGTTTCTGTATAATTATAGTTAAAAATGAGTGCACAGACGATATATTTATAACGTTAAATTAGTAAGTATCAGAGTTAAAGTATTTTTTTCAGTATCTTATTCACAAAATAAATCTAAGTTAGAGTTCTCATTTGCTACAAATCCATTTCGAATGTTAAAATGATAACTCAAAATTAA